GGTGTCGGTGTGTGTGGGTGTCGGTGTGTGTGTGGGTGTCGGTGTGTGTGTGGGTGTCGGTGTGTGTGGGTGTCGGTGTGTGTGGGTGTTGGTGTGTGTGGGTGTCGGTGTGTGTGGGCGTCGGTGTGTGTGGGTGTTGGTGTGTGTGTGGGTGTTGGTGTGTGTGGGTGTCGGTGTGTGTGGGTGTCGGTGTGTGTGGGTGTTAGTGTGTGTGTGGGTGTCGGTGTGTGTGGGTGTCGGTGTGTGTGTGGGTGTTAGTGTGTGTGTGGGTGTCGGTGTGTGTGGGTGTCGGTGTGTGTGGGTGTCGGTGTGTGTGGGTGTTAGTGTGTGTGTGGGTGTTGGTGTGTGTGGGTGTCGGTGTGTGTGGGTGTCGGTGTGTGTGGGTGTTAGTGTGTGTGTGGGTGTCGGTGTGTGTGGGTGTTGGTGTGTGTGGGTGTTGGTGTGTGTGGGTGTTGGTGTGTGTGGGTGTTAGTGTGTGTGTGGGTGTCGGTGTGTGTGGGTGTTGGTGTGTGTGGGTGTCGGTGTGTGTGGGTGTCGGTGTGTGTGTGGGCGTCGGTGTGTGTGGGTGTTGGTGTGTGTGGGCGTCGATGTGTGTGTGGGCGTCGGTGTGTGTGGGTGTTGGTGTGTGTGGGTGTCGGTGTGTGTGTGGGTGTCGGTGTGTGTGTGGGCGTCGGTGTGTGTGGGTGTTGGTGTGTGTGTGGGCGTCGATGTGTGTGTGGGCGTCGGTGTGTGTGGGTGTTGGTGTGTGTGGGTGTTGGTGTGTGTGTGGGTGTTGGTGTGTGTGTGGGTGTCGGTGTGTGTGGGTGTCGGTGTGTGTGTGGGTGTCGGTGTGTGTGTGGGTGTCGGTGTGTGTGGGCGTCGGTGTGTGTGGGTGTCGGTGTGTGTGGGTGTTAGTGTGTGTGTGGGCGTCGGTGTGTGTGGGTGTTAGTGTGTGTGTGGGCGTCGATGTGTGTGTGGGTGTTGGTGTGTGTGTGTGTCGGTGTGTGTGTGTGTCGGTGTGTGTGGGTGTCGGTGTGTGGGTGCCGGTGTGTGTGGGTGTCGGTGTGTGAGGGTGCCAGTGTGGGGGGGCGCTGGTCTCCGACTCTTCCCTCCCTGGCCCCGCGTCCCAGGCCCTGCACGAGGCCTGGTCCACCCCGTCCAGCCCGGCCTGTGCGAGGCCTGACGGCCGCTGGGGAGGGCGGCTTGGAGCAGGCATGGGAAGCTGGGCCCGAGCTCAGGGACCGGGAGGGACCGGGCCGCAGGGCAGAGCCGGACGGGACGCCCAGCACGGAGGGGTGCCCAGCGGAAGGTCCAGCAGACTCAGGGACGGCCAGCGGCCTCCGGCCATCCAGGTGGGACCGTCTGAGCCCCTTTTCCCTCCTGCCCTCCACACGGCGCAGGGAGACTCGGGGCTGGTGTGGGTCATTCTGGGGAGGCCCAGCTCCGGCACAGCGACGGCCCTGCCCACCCGAAGCCTGTGCTCTTTTGTCTGAGCTCCCCTCACTCGGGGAGCTCACCAAGTGGGTGGTCCAGCCTGTGCCCTCCCAGGGCACAGGCCCTGGGGCCGCAGCCCGCAGAGCAGAGGGTGCGGGGGGTGAGTGGCGGGGGGGCACTTGACCGGGCGTGCCGAGCCCAGCAGGAGGGCAGGGGGCCGCCGGGGTCAGAGGGCAGGGGCCGAGGAGGGGCTGCTGGAGTGCCGGGCTCCGCTGGGGTCAGGCTGTGGCTGACCCTGGCCTCCGCCCCTCTCCCTCCCAGGCCAGGGGTCCTGCGCTTCAGAGCCCGGCTTCTGAAACAGCACATGGGTGGATGTGGGGGGCTCCGCACCCCATTTCTGGTTCTCTAAACGTGTGCCCTCCTTCCTCTCCTTCCTGGCCTCGTCAGATTCCATGTTTAAAAATAACCCTCAAATCTCAGAGCCGCCGTCCCCAGCTGACCCCGGGGTGGACGGCCGCCAGGCGTGCCCGGCTCGTGACTCTAGACTGCGTCAAAGCCTGCGTGCGCGTGCGCCCGGGAAAGTCCCAGAATGTTCTCCAGTGACTCTGGGGGGTCGTTGGCCAGGAGCTGCCATCTGAGGCAGCTGACCGGTGTTCAGAGCCGTGGACCCTGGAGGGCCGTGGCCGGGGCCTGCGGCGGGCCTCGGAGGCCAGGACTCTCTTAGTTGGTGTGGCTTTATTTTCCTTCTGAGCTGATCCTGGCCGCACGCTCTCACTCAGCCTCTTCACTCAAGGCTGGCGTCTACCCCTTGAGCCACAGCTCCACTTCAAGCGTTTTGTCTCGTGGACTTTTCCGCCCGCGCAGGCTTTGAACCTGATCCTCACATCTCAGCCTGCTGTGTCGCTGGGATTACAGGCCTGAGCCACAGGCGCCCGGCCCTTTTATTTTTCTTTTGGTACTTGGGGTTGGATCAGATTTCGGACCCGTGGCTCCGTGGCCCCGTGATCCCGTGGCTGAGTGGCTGGAGAGCCTGGGCTCCCTGTGTGCCTCCCTGAGACTCCGTTTCCTCCCTCGCTAGGCTGGCTGGAGTCAGCAGAATGACCAGGAAGGGGACAGTGGGGGCCGCACAAAGCCGCAGGGTGACCAGGCCCAGCCGGCAGACCCCTCGGGAGGGGCGGGGTGGGGGCGGGGCACCCGCAGGGCGAACTCAGCCTCGCAGACCCCGCTGACGGCCACCGTGGGGGTTCACGGCCCTGAAGCCAGCCTGTGTCTGCGTTGACCCCACCCGGCCTCTGGCTGGCGGCCCAAGGTCCCTGGAGGTTTCTGAAGCCACTTCCCAGTCGGCTGGGAATGGAGGGGGACGAGACAGTGCTTCCCACACCCCCACGGCCCCAGGGAGAGGTCCCCACAGCCCTGCCCTCGTCCAGGGCCATGGATTTGGCTGCGTGGTCCCAGGCTAAGCAGGGACTGGGGCTCAGAGACCACAGAGTCCATGGAGTCCACGGAATCCTCGCACCAAGGGCAGCCGGGGCCGGACGGGGCGGTCCTGCCCCAGGGCTGGGGCTCAGAGTCCACGGAGTCCACGGAGTCCTCGCACCAAGGGCAGCCGGGGCCGGGCCGGGGCGGACGGGGCGGTCATGCCCCGGGCGTACCTGGCGTGGGCGGCCCGCTCAGCCACCGGCAGAGGGCCGCGTGGGGGTCTGGCTGGGGTGCTACCTGGGAGCACGCTGGGGGAAGGGCCTGCATGGAGGGGCGCCCTGCTTCCCGCTGCCAGAATCACGGCGGGTTTCCTGGAGGAGGGGACACTAGGTGACACTGTGTCTACTCTGAGGGGAATCAGGACTCAGACTGGCAGGACAGGAGGGGCCCGTCCCCACAGCAGCGGCTAGGGTTCTGAGGGGCGCGGGCACAGCCGCTCTTGGACTTGGGCTCTGGCTCCGGAAGGGCAGAGGGCGGCTGCCGGGGGGGGGCATCTCCAGGGACCCGGCTGCCCACAGCGCAGGTTCGCGGCAGCCCCGGCCGCCCTGGGCATTCTCCTAAGCACACTCCACCGCCTTCATCTCCCCGCATCTGCCAGGGCTGGTGCAGCCGTTAAGCAGCTTACAGCCCGCAGGGGACGAAACGGGGTGGGGGGGCACGGGGGAGCCAGCCTGGGCTCTGCGGGCATCTGGCGGCTTCTCCAGGCCCCGGCTTGTACGGCCGACCTGCCCCAGTGCGTTTCCAGACCCTGGTCCCTCCCCCCAGCCACGCCCTGCAGCCAGGACTCCTGGAAGGGGGCCATCCCCCGTCACCCCTGTCACTTTTCTGAGTGCCCTGCGGGTTTGTCCGTCCCCTAGCAAAGGGCAGAATCCCCTTTTGGTGGTGGTGGTTGTCGGTTGTGGGGCTTGAACTCAGGGCCTGGGTGCTGTCCCTGAGCTCTTTTCTTGCTCAAGGTGAGCGCTCTACCGCTTTGAGCCACAGCATCACTTGGGTTTTCTGGTGGTTAATCAGAGATAAGAATCTTCCTGGGACGCTTCTCCCTGGGCTGGCTTTGAACCGTGATCCTCAGATCTCAGCCTCCTGAGGTCAGGGTGACAGATGTGAGCCACCAGCACCCGGCATCCCTTTCCCTTTTTATGGCTGAATAGTATTCCGTGTGAGCGAGCGGTGCCGTTTTGTTTTCTTCTTCGCTCTCCAGGCATGGGGGGGGCCCTTCCCTCTGGGCTGTTATGAGTGTCTGGCAGAGGCCCAGATCTGTGTAAGAACCTGCTAGGGCCCAGCCTCTGGTTCTGTGTGTGTGTGTGTACGCACCTGCGTACACTAAAACCCTCACTTGTGTGCTGGGCTTGTGTGGGGACCAGGAGCCACGCTGGGACAGCTTCCGTTTGGGTCTGGTTTGCGCCTGTGGCCTCCTGCCCTGTCTCTAATGTGGACCGGATCACGGCCACTCCTAGAGAAAGCCGCCCGGCAGGGCTGCCTGCCTCCCGCACCAGCCTGCGCCCGCGCACCACCTGAGCACGCCTCCTCTGATTAAGGCTCTTTCCTGTGGGAAGGAGGGGTGGCAGGTGACAGGGCGGCTCATTCCTAAGAGGAAATTGCATGGCAGCATTTCTGTCTTCCTTCCCAGCCCCCTCGCCCCTGCCCCGGCCCCATCGCCCCGGCCCCCCTGCCCCGGGCCCCCGCCCCCGCCCCGGCCCCCCTGCCCCGGCCCCCTCCGCCCCAGCCTCATCGCCCCGGCCCCCTCCGCCCCGGCCCCCTCTGCCCCGGCCCCCTCCGCCCCGGCCCCCTCCGCCCCGCCCCCCCCCTCGCCCTGGACACTGGTCCCCGCCCCGGCCCTCCCGCCCCGGCCCCCCCGCCCCGGCCCCCTCCGCCCCGGCCCCCTCCGCCCCGGCCCCCTCCGCCTCGGCCTCCCTCCCCCCACCCCGGCCCCATCACCCCGGACCCCCGCCCCAGCTCCCCCACCTGGCCCCCCCCCCCGGCCCCCTCCGCCCCGGCCCCCTCCGCCCCGGCCCCCCCCTCGCCCTGGACACTGGTCCCCGCCCCGGCCCCACAGCCTCTCCTGTCTCTCGCCATGCAGGCAGTGCTGACGGGTCGATGCCAGCTGGACGATGACCAGTTCTGGCCACCGGTCCTGGAACGCACTGGCGGTCATCTCCCTGCTGGTCCCCGCAGGTAGTGTGGGGGTGAGCCCCAGGGGGCGGGGGGTGAGACCCAGGGGGGCGGGGGTGGGGGGGTCCCGGGAAGGGGCGGGGCGGGGACCGGCTCTCCCTCTGCCCGTGTGTGGCAGCCCCTTGCTGGCCGTGGAGCTCCGAGGGGCTGTGGGGGATGCAGAGAGCCCCTCACGAGCTCTGCGGGTGGGTCAGGCGTGGTGCGTGGCACGTTCGCTGGGTGGGCTGAGCGTGGGGCCGCTGCCCCCGGCCCAGAGCTGCCCCCAACCCCCGGCCCCCGGCCCCAGGCCCCCGGACCCCGGCCCCCTGGTCCCCAGCTTCCCGGCCCCCGGCCCCCAGCCCCAGACCCCAGCCCATGGCCCCCGGCCCCCAGCCCCCCGGCCCCAGCCCATGGCCCCCAGCCTCCTGGCCCCCGGCCCCCAGCCCCAGACCCCAGACCCCAGCCCATGGCCCCCGGACCCCAGCCCCCTGGCCCCCGGCCCCCCGGCCCCTGGCCCCCCGGCCCCTGGCCCCCAACCCCCCGGCCCCTGGCCCCGGGCCGGCTCGTCTGGGCTCGGAGGAAGCATGTCCTCTGTCTCTCCTAACCAGAGCCAACCGGGGTCCCCTGAACCCCACCATGGCTGGGACCCCTCAGCCTTCCTCTCCACATCTCGCTGCCGGTCTCTCCCTCTTGGTCTCTTTCCAGCACTCTCTCTGCTTTTGCCTCTGGTTTTCTCTGCATCTTTCTGTCCGGCGCTGTCTCCTCTGTCTCCGTCTCTGTTTCCTGTCTCTCTCTCTGTCTCCTCTGCCTCCGTCTCTGTTTCCTGTCTCTCTCTCTCTCTCTGTCTCCTCTGTCTCCGTCTCTGTTTCCTGTCTCTCTCTCTCTCTCTCTCCTCTGTCTCCGTCTCTGTTTCCTGTCTCTCTCTCTCTCTCCTCTGTCTCCGTCTCTGTTTCCTGTCTCTCTCTCTCTCTCTCTCCTCTGCCTCCGTCTCTGTTTCCTGTCTCTCTCTCTCTCTCCTCTGTCTCCGTCTCTGTTTCCTGTCTCTCTCTCTGTCTCCTCTGTCTCCGTCTCTGTTTCCTGTCTCTCTCTCTCTCTCTCCTCTGTCTCCGTCTCTGTTTCCTGTCTCTCTCTCTGTCTCCTCTGTCTCCGTCTCTGTTTCCTGTCTCTCTCTCTCTCCTCTGCCTCCGTCTCTGTTTCCTGTCTCTCTCTCTCTCTCTCTCCTCTGTCTCCGTCTCTGTTTCCTGTCTCTCTCTCTGTCTCCTCTGTCTCCGTCTCTGTTTCCTGTCTCTCTCTCTGTCTCCTCTGTCTCCGTCTCTGTTTCCTGTCTCTCTCTCTCTCTGTCTCCGTCTCTGTTTCCTGTCTCTCTCTCTCTCTGTCTCCTCTGTCTCCGTCTCTGTTTCCTGTCTCTCTCTCTCTCTCTCCTCTGCCTCCGTCTCTGTTTCCTGTCTCTCTCTCTCTGTCTCCTCTGTCTCCGTCTCTGTTTCCTGTCTCTCTCTCTCTCTGTCTCCTCTGTCTCCGTCTCTGTTTCCTGTCTCTCTCTCTCTCTCTCTCTCCTCTGCCTCCGTCTCTGTTTCCTGTCTCTCTCTCTCTCTCTCCTCTGTCTCCGTCTCTGTTTCCTGTCTCTCTCTCTCTCCTCTGTCTCCGTCTCTGTTTCCTGTCTCTCTCTCTCTCTGTCTCCTCTGTCTCCGTCTCTGTTTCCTGTCTCTCTCTCTCTCTCTCTCCTCTGCCTCCGTCTCTGTTTCCTGTCTCTCTCTCTCTGTCTCCTCTGTCTCCGTCTCTGTTTCCTGTCTCTCTCTCTCTCTGTCTCCTCTGTCTCCGTCTCTGTTTCCTGTCTCTCTCTCTCTCTCTCTCTCCTCTGCCTCCGTCTCTGTTTCCTGTCTCTCTCTCTCTCTCTCCTCTGTCTCCGTCTCTGTTTCCTGTCTCTCTCTCTCTCCTCTGTCTCCGTCTCTGTTTCCTGTCTCTTTCTCTCTCTCCTCTGTCTCCGTCTCTGTTTCCTGTCTCTCTCTCTCTCTCTCCTCTGTCTCCGTCTCTGTTTCCTGTCTCTCTCTCTCTCTCTCTCCTCTGCCTCCGTCTCTGTTTCCTGTCTCTCTCTCTCTGTCTCCTCTGTCTCCGTCTCTGTTTCCTGTCTCTCTCTCTCTCTGTCTCCTCTGTCTCCGTCTCTGTTTCCTGTCTCTCTTTCTCTCTCTCCTCTGTCTCCGTCTCTGTTTCCTGTCTCTCTCTCTGTCTCCTCTGTCTCCGTCTCTGTTTCCTGTCTCTCTCTCTCTCTCTCTCCTCTGCCTCCGTCTCTGTTTCCTGTCTCTCTCTCTCTGTCTCCTCTGTCTCCGTCTCTGTTTCCTGTCTCTCTCTCTCTCTGTCTCCTCTGTCTCCGTCTCTGTTTCCTGTCTCTCTTTCTCTCTCTCCTCTGTCTCCGTCTCTGTTTCCTGTCTCTCTCTCTCTGTCTCCTCTGTCTCCGTCTCTGTTTCCTGTCTCTCTCTCTCTCCTCTGTCTCCTCTGTCTCCGTCTCTGTTTCCTGTCTCTCTCTCTCTGTCTCCTCTGTCTCCGTCTCTGTTTCCTGTCTCTCTCTCTCTCTCCTCTGTCTCCGTCTCTGTTTCCTGTCTCTCTCTCTCTCTGTCTCCTCTGTCTCCGTCTCTGTTTCCTGTCTCTCTCTCTCTGTCTCCTCTGTCTCCGTCTCTGTTTCCTGTCTCTCTCTCTCTGTCTCCTCTGTCTCCGTCTCTGTTTCCTGTCTCTCTCTCTCTGCCTCCTCTGCCTCCGTCTCTGTTTCCTGTCTCTCTCTCTCTCTGTCTCCTCTGTCTCCGTCTCTGTTTCCTGTCTCTCTCTCTCTGTCTCCTCTGTCTCCGTCTCTGTTTCCTGTCTCTCTCTCTCTGTCTCCTCTGTCTCCGTCTCTGTTTCCTGTCTCTCTCTCTCTGTCTCCTCTGCCTCCGTCTCTGTTTCCTGTCTCTCTCTCTCTCTGTCTCCTCTGTCTCCGTCTCTGTTTCCTGTCTCTCTCTCTGTCTCCTCTGTCTCCGTCTCTGTTTCCTGTCTCTCTCTCTCTCTCCTCTGTCTCCGTCTCTGTTTCCTGTCTCTCTCTCTCTGTCTCCTCTGTCTCCGTCTCTGTTTCCTGTCTCTCTCTCTCTGTCTCCTCTGCCTCCGTCTCTGTTTCCTGTCTCTCTCTCTCTCTCTGTCTCCTCTGTCTCCGTCTCTGTTTCCTGTCTCTCTCTCTCTCTCTCCTCTGCCTCCGTCTCTGTTTCCTGTCTCTCTCTCTCTGTCTCCTCTGTCTCCGTCTCTGTTTCCTGTCTCTCTCTCTCTGTCTCCTCTGTCTCCGTCTCTGTTTCCTGTCTCTCTCTCTCTCTCTGTCTCCTCTGTCTCCGTCTCTGTTTCCTGTCTCTCTCTCTCTCTCTCCTCTGCCTCCGTCTCTGTTTCCTGTCTCTCTCTCTCTGTCTCCTCTGTCTCCGTCTCTGTTTCCTGTCTCTCTCTCTCTCTCTGTCTCCTCTGTCTCCGTCTCTGTTTCCTGTCTCTCTCTCTCTCTCTCCTCTGCCTCCGTCTCTGTTTCCTGTCTCTCTCTCTCTGTCTCCTCTGTCTCCGTCTCTGTTTCCTGTCTCTCTCTCTCTGTCTCCTCTGTCTCCGTCTCTGTTTCCTGTCTCTCTCTCTCTGTCTCCTCTGCCTCCGTCTCTGTTTCCTGTCTCTCTCTCTCTCTGTCTCCTCTGTCTCCGTCTCTGTTTCCTGTCTCTCTCTCTCTGTCTCCTCTGTCTCCGTCTCTGTTTCCTGTCTCTCTCTCTCTGTCTCCTCTGTCTCCGTCTCTGTTTCCTGTCTCTCTCTCTCTGTCTCCTCTGCCTCCGTCTCTGTTTCCTGTCTCTCTCTCTCTCTGTCTCCTCTGTCTCCGTCTCTGTTTCCTGTCTCTCTCTCTGTCTCCTCTGTCTCCGTCTCTGTTTCCTGTCTCTCTCTCTCTCTGTCTCCTCTGTCTCCGTCTCTGTTTCCTGTCTCTCTCTCTCTGTCTCCTCTGCCTCCGTCTCTGTTTCCTGTCTCTCTCTCTCTCTCTCTCCTCTGTCTCCGTCTCTGTTTCCTGTCTCTCTCTCTCTGTCTCCTCTGTCTCCGTCTCTGTTTCCTGTCTCTCTCTCTCTGTCTCCTCTGCCTCCGTCTCTGTTTCCTGTCTCTCTCTCTCTCTCTGTCTCCTCTGTCTCCGTCTCTGTTTCCTGTCTCTCTCTCTCTCTCTCCTCTGCCTCCGTCTCTGTTTCCTGTCTCTCTCTCTCTGTCTCCTCTGTCTCCGTCTCTGTTTCCTGTCTCTCTCTCTCTCTCTCTCCTCTGCCTCCGTCTCTGTTTCCTGTCTCTCTCTCTCTGTCTCCTCTGTCTCCGTCTCTGTTTCCTGTCTCTCTCTCTCTCTCTGTCTCCTCTGTCTCCGTCTCTGTTTCCTGTCTCTCTCTCTCTCTCTCCTCTGCCTCCGTCTCTGTTTCCTGTCTCTCTCTCTCTGTCTCCTCTGTCTCCGTCTCTGTTTCCTGTCTCTCTCTCTCTCTCTGTCTCCTCTGTCTCCGTCTCTGTTTCCTGTCTCTCTCTCTCTGTCTCCTCTGTCTCCGTCTCTGTTTCCTGTCTCTCTCTCTCTGTCTCCTCTGTCTCCGTCTCTGTTTCCTGTCTCTCTCTCTCTCTGTCTCCTCTGTCTCCGTCTCTGTTTCCTGTCTCTCTCTCTCTCTCTCCTCTGCCTCCGTCTCTGTTTCCTGTCTCTCTCTCTCTCTCCTCTGTCTCCGTCTCTGTTTCCTGTCTCTCTCTCTCTGTCTCCTCTGTCTCCGTCTCTGTTTCCTGTCTCTCTCTCTCTCTCCTCTGTCTCCGTCTCTGTTTCCTGTCTCTCTCTCTCTCTGTCTCTCTCTGTCTCCGTCTCTGTTTCCTGTCTCTCTCTCTCTGTCTCCTCTGCCTCCGTCTCTGTTTCCTGTCTCTCTCTTTCTCTCTCTCCTCTGTCTCCGTCTCTGTTTCCTGTCTCTCTCTCTCTCCTCTGTCTCCGTCTCTGTTTCCTGTCTCTCTCTCTCTCTGTCTCCTCTGTCTCCGTCTCTGTTTCCTGT